CAGTATTATGTTATAGATATGAATATGGTGTTATTGTTATCCCCTAAATCTTTCAATGAGGTTACCCTTCCTTGCGTTTGCTTATGTAATTTTGATATTTTCATTACATAATTAAATGTGAACTCCTTTTAAAAAAGGATTCGGCTTCACAAAAATTGATACTTTTAGTTTTAAAAAAAGAATCGATTATTGAGTATTGCTGTATATGACTATACTATGGACTAATGTAAAGGAGAAGATAGATATCAAAGCAAATAACAAAAAACAAAAAATAGAATCTAGATATGCTTGAATACCGGAGGATATTCCGGATATACGGGACTTACCGGAAATATTAGAAATCTTGGCGTGTTACTTCTCAGGCTATATATGTTTCATTCTAATGACATATAGTTCAATCAATTAATTTACAGCCTATTTTCCTATACTATTATGCATTAAAAAGAAACACCCTCTCTCCTCTCACTAGTGTAGGCAGCTACTAATCTAAGCCACTAATTCTCTTGTACGTTGCTTTGTAATGTGCGGTCAAACCATGATTAATGGTTTATATTTTCTGTTGCGAATAATTTGGCTAATACAAAAGTAAATATGTTGAAGTTTTTGAATAATTATAAGGGTAAACATAAAGTTTGCTATATTTCGAAGTACTTTCTATTCCTAAAATTGTACGTGATAATGTTACATTGCTATAATATTTCTCAATGAGCTCTATGATACTTTTAATTGATGTGATATGTACCATTGATATACCCTAAGAACGTTGAAGGTTGTTAATTGTAGCAATATTGTAACGAAAAGTTCTGATAGAAGACGATATGTGAATAAAATACTATTGTATTTGGATTTTAAATGAAGGAAATCAGAAGTAGATAATCTTCAAAACATTGTATTGGAATATTAGAATAATGAGTTTCTAAATTTTCAAGCTCGTTTGTACATACTCAATGATATGTGTTTTCAAACAATATACCAATATTTTAAAATGCTTACTGTAATTAGATACCACGACTATCATATTTAGAAAATTACACAGGTAACATAATATGGATAATTGCAACTGGGACATGGATAGATACTAGATTTCAAATTTAAAGTCTTGTGTCTGTTTTCTAAATTCTGAGTCTAAATTTAGATGTTGACTTCTCTCAGAGGAGACTTTTTATCATGTCTCCTATTTGCCCTTAATATATTTTTTGCTCGTCTTCAGTATCCCCTGATTAATCTCGTAGGGATATTCTCGGATATGTTTATGAATGAAAGTCTATCTTTTTGTTTTTCAGTGAGTCGTAGAAGATGATTTGTAAAGACTGATTCAAAAGTAATATGGCACAAAATGAAAACAATTCAATATTACCACTGGCAATCTTAAATAGGAGTAAAATATATTGTGAGAATAGAAGTTGTATTACTTTAATATTAGTCGTGTTTTAAAGCTTATAGAAGAGAGGTGGAAACAGATATAAGTCACTTTTTTAATGTAATGGAGAATCGATTACATTCTGTATCTAGCATGCTGCAACTTTCCGCATGCGGATATTGCTCGAGAAAAAATATGCACTGATTCACTATCACAATCATTTTAACTCCTTGGTGACGCCTAATCTTACCAAAGCATGTAAATGGGGCATTAATATATCAAATGAATTATTTGTGATACTTCCGGATGTCTATCGCCATTGGGAGCTTCAAGTGGTTGTGCTAACTGTTAATGCGTAAATATCCACTCCATTTCCATTATTTCCATTATTTCCATTATTTCCGAGATCATCCGGGTATGTAACTTCAGTTAATTTTAGAAATGCATTCATCTATACATATAGAGATTACAAATTTGTTACCATAGCATTATACTATTACACATTTTCTTTAAACATACATATAAAATTCTTAGTACTAAATAAAACAAATGCTTAATGCTAAACTGGATAACTAATCGGTTACCAAAAGAAAAGCTTAGAGCCATTGAAGCCAAGAAAATCTTAAAAATGGTCATTAGATTAAAAAATTGATGTAGTAATACAATACTTGGATTAAAGCAAAGGGTTTAAGAATAGTTTGAAGCATATAGAAGGCTTCGCCTGGAATATTACTTCGGCAGTGCAAAAGATAAGTATATGTTAAAAGTTTTGTCATGGACTATTCTCTACACTATATATATATAGATAAAAACCTGAATTGTTTCCTACCACTTCTCAATAAGTATGAAAAATACATAATGAAAGCTTATTATTTGTTGGGGCTTTTCACAATTTGTTCCATAGTTCTTGGAGAGAATGTAAATACATTTAAAATAGATTTTAAGGTTTTAACGGGAGATGATAAAAGAGATCTATCATTTGAGGAAAGATCGTATTTCACTAAAAGAGATTCTGCAGAAATAGAATTAGGAAATAGACAGACATTCTATTTAGCTAACATTGAGGTAGGATCTAATGAAGAAGAGATAGGGGTTTTGGTTGATACAGGTTCTTCTGATTTATGGATAATGGCACATGATTTAAATTGTGAAAGATCTTCGTCATCAAAGAGAGATATACAAATAGATAGTAGATCATCGGAACAAGTGCGTGATGAAAACAAAGCCTATGTTAAGGGAAGTCGCAAAGATGTGGAAAAAATCTCAAAAAGTAACAAAACCACTTTTTCCGAAGGTTCAGAGACAAATCTTAAACCTGTATGGAGTGTTATCTCAAACTCAAGCGAAGTTTCCATTTCTGGAAGTAATTACAATATACATAACCTTATGGAAAACACCAAGTCGTCAGATAATGAATGTACGAGGTATGGTTCATTCAATTTTTTAGATTCCGATTCCTTTTATCGAAATCAGTCAGCCAGTCGGTTCTCAATTAGTTATGCTGATGGAACTTATGCGCGCGGATTTTGGGGTACCGACAATGTTAGTTTTGGCAATGTAACGGTAAGGGACTTATCATTTGCAGTTTCAAATGACACAACCTCAGATATAGGGATATTAGGCATAGGGCTTCCTGGGTTAGAAACTACATACTCCAGCCAGTTTGGAGGTAATTATCAATACGAAAATTTACCTTTGAAATTAAGAAATCAAGGAGCTATTAATAAAGCAGCTTATTCAATTTATTTAGGTGATGAAGACTCAAGAGTTGGAACACTCTTGTTTGGGGCAGTTGATTCTGCTAAGTACTCTGGTGACTTACAGACAGTGCAGATTGTAAACTCAGCAAGAAACTATGGCTATTCAGAGCCTATTAGAATAGAGGTTATTGTAAATGGAATTTCCTTGAATGATTCAAATAATGAAATCGAAATAACTTCCCATGATTACACAGCTGTTTTGGATACGGGATCTACATTTTCTTACTTCCCTACCTCTCTTTTAAGATCACTCGGAGAAGCCGTAAATGGGAGATTTTCGTCATCTTTGGGGGCTTATATAATTGACTGTATTGATGATTCTTATTCCTTCATTATTAACTTTAGTGGAGTTACAATAAATGTACCTCTAAAAAGTTTGATACAAAGATATAGCAATAACCAATGCTTTTTGAGTATTTTAGAACAATCAGGTTCTGATTACATATTATTTGGAGATAATGTGTTAAGAAGTGCCTACCTTGTTTTCGATTTAGATGATTTGGAGATTTCTATGGCACAAGCCAGATATACAACAGAGGAAAGTATTTCAGTAATTTCCTCGACTGTTCCTTATGCTGTCCGGGCTCCGGGATACTCATCCACATCTCTCCCTAGCTCAGTAGACGATTCTGGAGGTCCAACTGGAACCCTTGGTAGTGAATCTAATTCTGGCGGAAGAAGTTCCAGTGCATCAACGAACCGTTTTTCAAAAGCTAAGATATATGGATTATTTATTGGATTAGTTTTTTTGATACCGGTGACTTTATTTTAATAGATTAAATATATGTCAAATTTTATATGCTGTAAAGTTCTACGATCTTGTCGTTTCACTCATTAACCAACGTGAAAAAAATTCTTAGATAACTAATTTTTTCTAATATTCAGGAAAGAGTTCTATATCAAGAAGGTTTTGAGATTATTAGAAAAGATGCTTTGTAGACTAATGAAGCGACGCATCCTGAAGCATAATGCCTTTATTGGTATCTTAATCTGTGCCAAATAATACTTTAAAAATTGGGTTATATTTAACAAGTGTATAACGGTCGGTATCTATGAAATTATATACAAACAAAATGAGAATAAGAACCAGGAAAGGGAAGGATATCATTAATAGTATGTGCAACGATTAGGAAGCTTATCTGAGAGAGTAACGGTATGATCTTCAAGTTAAGTGAAAAGCAGGGAATTCATAAGTAAAAACTGTTTGAATGAAGTAATACCAAAGTCCTTAAAAAGCTCTTGCCATATATCGGACAAGCATTGAATACTAGGAATGGATTGAAAATCATATTTGAAATAGAATTCAAAGTAATAATGCATAGCTTTTGCTTGTTCATGAAAAGTTTATGCCATTTCTTGTAGTTAGCATAACCTTTTAGCCTACTCATATTAAACAAAATGATTTTCAAAAAGCGACTCATACCCTTTTGAAGTAAATAATCAAATCGCATAGTTGGTAAATTCCTTTGTATGTTATTTATATTGTAAGCCATTTATGCATACACTACCAGTGTTGCTCCAATTTATGACAGTTCTAGATGTTTCACTTAAACTATTTTGTTGTGTATGTAGTTGCCTAAAGCTGAAGTCCATCTTTAATTTAATTTCCTGGAGTGCTTCACGAAGTCCGATATTTTCAGTTTCGTTTCCTTTAAAAGATAGCTGGATACCCCTGGCCACACAGGCCATTTATCGATTTAACAGACATACTGTTTATAGGTATTATCAGATACGGCTGTATAGTTCATTTACATCATATATGTGGCCAATATGTTTTCGGGTAATATAAAAAATGTAAGAGTTACCATTTTTTTATGCGAATTTTAATCTGAGATGTTAGGCATTGAATCAAACTCTCTAAAGTTTTCAACTTTATAAATTGAATTAGTGGGATCGATAGAAAAAATGCAACAGATAATGGTGAGATGAAAACCTTGATATTATTCATACACTTTGATTCTCAACTTTGAAATTCATCTGTAGTGGTATTAAATAGCTACGAATGACAAGTAAAAGAAGATTTGAAAATAGTTTATTTAAAGCTCAGCAAACAAAAACAAATGAGCGAGGCTTATTGAATTAATAAATCTCCGATTGAGCTAGTATGCATAAATTATCATTTGAAGAAAACTGTGCCTTACTAGAGCTTTACATAATATTCTTTTTTTGAAATTTGTCTTTTTCTATGTTCCTGCCCTTTAAGTTTTGCTAACAAATATTTCAACATTCCAACTGGAAGGGGGAAGGGGGGTCACTTATCTATGGGAAAATCGGGGTGATCAACTTGTGTTGGAGATAGTAACGTTCGTTGACTATGTAATTCTAAAATAAACGAAAATCGAATTGTTTTATTCCTATAAATCTCAATGGTTATCACCGTAGTCGGAAAAACACCAGACGATCCCATAATTAAAAATTATAGCATAAAAGTGACTATATAAAAAATTTTGAATAATCAGAATTTGAGTAAATAAATACAATTATTGAAACTCCTTATCAAAACCAGTGAAAACAAACCTGTATTTAACATTAGATCTATCACATCTTTCCAAGGATGATGCAATATTTTCAGCGTTGATAGGGATTTCTTCGACCCATGGCTTTAATTTATGCTTATCGACAAGTTCCATCATTTTAAGAGCATCTTTTCTACTTCCAACAACAGATCCCAGAATAGTGATTTTTTTTAAAATAAGTGGAAAAGCCAGGATTTCAAGACCTTCTTCCAAAGAAGGTGCACCAACAATAATCAATTCACCTTTGAATTTAATTATCAGAGCCAAACTGTTAAAATCAAGAGAACTGTAATTAGCAGCACAATTCAATACCAAATCGAATTTATCAGCATGTTCGTTAGTCCAGTTTTCATCTTCACTAGTAGCAATAAAAGATTTTGCTCCCATTTTAATGGCATCCTGCTTCTTAGCTGATGATCTTGAAATAGCAGTTACTTCAGCACCAAGAGCCTGAGCAAAAATGATTGCCATATGTCCTAGACCACCAATACCGACAATGCCAACTTTTTTTCCTGTCATATTGTAACCTAAACTACGGGTGAGGGGAGCAAAAACAGTAAGACCGCCACATAACAAGGGCGCTGCTTCGCTTGGAGAAATTTCTTTTGGAATTGGAAATACATAATGCTCATTGCAAATTGCATAATTAGCATAACCACCCTGAGTAATATAATCATTAGACAGTGGATCTGCCTTGTTATAAGTTGGAACCATCTCTGTACAATAGTTCTCGTAGTCGTTCAGGCATCTATCACAGTGGAGACATGAATTGCATTGGGCACCAATTCCCCCAATTTGGCCTACCTTAACATTTCTAACATTATTACCAACTTGAACGACTTTTCCAACAATTTCATGACCAACAACTAAGTCTTTTCTGGAAACTTCACCCCAATCACCTTTTAAGGTGTGAATATCTGATCCGCATAAGCCACAAGCTTCGATCTTGAGAACAACGTCTTCTGGATTTACTTTTTTAGGTTGAAATTCAACTTTGCGCAATTCATTCCATTTTTTTTCATTATACGCGAATCCTTTAAATGTACTTGGAACTGTCATAGTGAGTATTGAATCTAATTCTAGCTTTTTTACTTTTAGTTTGTTTTACTTCTAATTCTCTCTACTCTTTGATTGAACGAACTGGACATTTAAATACTTGATTATGCTTACTAATTTTGTTCTGTATTAATAACATATCTGATTAGCTCGCCTCTAATTTTCACGTACCATTTTTCCGATTCAAATTCTCAAATTCTCAAATTCCAGTATTTCCAGTATTTCCGTTATACCCGCACTCAGATTAAATGCACGTTCGTTATCCATATGAACCTCAATTTTGCTGCAACATCCAGTCTTTCGTATTGTTAAATGCACTTACTTATAATACAAAACTAACTATGTTTCTTGGAATAATAATTGATTGCAAGAAATATTTAGGATTATTAAACTAAAAAACTATATTATATGACGAATTGGATTTCTGAAAAACTCGAATACTTAGCAAGTCGTATCGAGAAATAACTGTCTGGCTTTGCAAGGGTTATTATCGAGTATTTTCTCTGCTAAATGAAACACGTAGTTTAACCAGATTGCTTAAAAATAAGTAATAAGATTATTTATGAACAGTACTTCCTTTTCATTAGGCCAAAAAATTTTAAGATAGAAAAAGAATGCCTAGATGCGATAATTATTATAGTTTTCTTTTTATAGTGATATTGCCAGTGTGAAAAGGTAGCTATACGCATTAGAAAGTAATTTAAAATGTTGCAAAGTTGTTCTTCATCCTACTTTATTTCAACGAAGATATAACTTTGCTACAATAATACAAATGAAACATAACAGTTTAATAATGTTGCTTGTCTTTCTAAGATAGTACTCAGAAATCCCAGATATATTCAAAATAGGCTTTTAAATTTGAAAGAAAAAGATAAAGAAGACTTATTATTGATTGAAGAAACTCATTTTGTTATTGAGTCAAATGAGGATCAAATGAGGGTTTAAATTGAGGATCTTCTAATATAGATCACGTATCATGATTTAAAGGGTAAAAAACAACCTCCATCAAAGAGGGATGTAAATTTAGATAGGAAATTTCCAAAAAATGACAACACACAAAGTTCGGATACAATGGATGATGCATACTCATAATATCTAATGCAAACCTTAGACCTGTAGGGAATTTTAATCTCTCATGACTTTGTCTCAACATGAAGTATTTGATTCTTCTGCTATTGCAGTATTTGAACATCTATTCCTAATTTACATTTTATATGCAACATGAATAATAGACTTTCCCAAAGTCAGTCACTAACAGAAAAATCTTTCATGGTACTCCACACACTGATATTTGAAATTACAATAATTTTTCATTGAACTAAAGTTCGTTACTGCTTATACTTGATGAAAGATCAAACGAAGAAATTGTTATCCAGATAGTTCTTGATGGTAGAAATTTATTTAGTCTTCGTTTTATGATTATGCTTTGATATTATCTATGATAATATGACAGCTTCCGCCATTTTATGTACATGATCCATCTTAGCAACAGCTTCAATATTTTCACAATTCATTCTCTTTATTCCAAATGTGTATTGTATTGCGGGGTGCATCAGTCATTGGGCTCGCAACCCACAATTAGAATTATCGGAATTCAACTAGATCTCCGAATTGCGATAATTCCAGTATCTCCGAAAGGGAAATCATATATAAGTAGGAAATATTCAGACAGACTAACACTGAAAAGTAATAGCAGATACGTAATTAGAGAAAAAATATGAGAAAAGTTGAATATCATAAATTGGGTTCCTCGGGGTTAGCTATTTCCCCTATTATCATCGGTTGCATGACTTTTGGAAATTTTCATAATTGGGGTATAACTGAGGAAGACTCGGTTATGAAAATTTTAAAAAAATGCTATGATAATGGATTAAGAACTTTTGATACGGCTGATGTATATTCTAATGGTAAGTCGGAAATCCTTTTAGGTAAATTTATCAAGAAGTACAACATACCAAGAGAAAGAATTGTAATAATGACGAAGGTTTATTGCCCTATGGACTATAATGATCCTGAGTTTAGCATGTTCAAATATGGAACTGAGGATTATCCTGAGATTAATTATGTAAACTCTCAAGGTTTATCAAGGAAACATATATTTAATGCTGTTGAACATTCTGTTAAAAATTTGGGAACTTATATTGATGTCCTACAGATTCACCGGATGGATCGTACTACTCCTAAAGAAGAGATTATGAAAGCATTACACGATGTAGTTGAAGGTGGTGATGTAAGATATTTAGGAGCTTCTTCAATGAAAGCATTTGAATTTGCCCAATTGCAATTCATTGCTGTGAAAAATGGCTGGACAAAATTTATTAGTATGCAGAATTATTATAATCTTGTATACCGTGAGGAGGAGCGTGAAATGATTCCTTTCTGTAATGAAAATGAATTTGGAAAAGTCGGTATAATTCCCTACTCACCAATTGCTAGTGGTCTTCTTGCTCGCCCATTAGCTTCAGAAGGAACTAAAAGACTGACAACCGACCCAATATATTCTAAAAAGGGATTGGATAAGCCAACAGATGCAGATAAAAAGATTGTAAACAGAGTCCAAGAAATAGCAGAAAAATACAATGTAAGTATGGCTACAGTAGCTACCAGATGGATCCTAAGTAAAGGTGCTAACCCGATAGTAGGGGTTAATTCTATTGAAAGAGTAGATGACTTCACAAATGCGTTAAGTTTCGAGTTGAGTGAGAGCGAAATTGCTCTGTTAGAAGAACCATATGAGGCAAAAGCTGAATACTAAACCTAAAGTTAGTTCGTTATTATTTTATTCATTATACGCCGAAACATAATTATTTAGTACTTTATATTTGTGATTCCAAGAAGTGCCTCTTAAATTTTCCTTCCAGTAATTACTTTTTATCTGATCATCGTGTAATAAATGCAGAAATTTAATTTCAAATCTTGAAATGTTATAACTAGTGAAAACTAACAATTATAATTATTACATATATAATTGTTTCCTGTATTTCTAGACATCAATGTTAAGTATTATAAGGATATTAGAAATGCAGAAATTAAGGTGGTGAATTTATTTTCCTTGGTAATCATTTTTATACCAGTTCGTTAGATAAGTCAGTCGACAAATCAAATCTGGCTGAATTACACCTGGGTCGTTGAAAAAAATGTAAGGCCAATAATCAATAATGTGAAACTTAGAGTCAGCAATGAATCTTTCAATGAAACAAGAGAGGAGATACAAACCAAGCATCTAAAAGATTTGAGCTTCCCGATTTATATAATTATGTAAATGTGATGCTTTCATAAAATTCGGATGATTACTATTTCATTTACGCAGCTTGTTGTTAATCGTGCATTTGTCTGACATTGAATATCATGACGTCATGTTAATTAGACGAAAAGTCAATTTTGTACTAATATATCACTTTAGTTATTTTGGGGTTATCCACACCCATAAATTGCATACTACTAATGCGCTCGTGGGCCTCCTTTCGACATCTTTCCCCTTTATAAGTTGCAAGTTTTAGCCAGTAGCAACATATATCATAAATCACACCTAGCTAATTTCAATGATTCATTGTACTATTTCCTTCTTCTACTACTTAATATCAACCTTACATTATACTTCCCTCTTTCAGAGCTTTCGCAACACATACTGGCACGTCGTTACTTCAACTATATCAACAATCTCAATTTCGCATACTTTATTGGCTTATGATCACCACACAATCCTTTGCAACCTTTAACGCCTCGCTAAATGCCACACAAACCCATCGATAAACCAATACATCCATATACATTTTACATAGATGACTACGGAAATAATCCACCATTTTTCAAATAAAACAAAAAATTTATGTAAACATAATTTTAAAAGAGTCAAATGTCAAGAAATGTGCTTCAATAACGCAAGCTATTGCTAAAATAAAACTTGTTATTAAGTCTCCAATAAATATGTAGTCATGAAAACTCTAATAAATTGCTCCTAGAACAGATTGGCTTCAAATAGAGTACCAATATTAATAAAGTCCCACCAAATCTAGCTAATCAAACCATCATTTACAGTATAATAATGAAAACATTCTTATCAGATTTTACTAGAATCTTCAAGCTGACTCATCTAAATGGACCAAATATGGGCCTTCACTGTTCCAATGAACCTACCATTTTTCAATGTTTTGATCACAATAATAAATGAAATGTACCTAATTATGTCTTTCTCAGATTCGATGATGAAATATTAGTGAAATGCAGACTTTATAAGATCACATAATCGGATATTTCGGGGTGCGCTCGGATAACAATTTCCGAATTAACATCGTACATGCTCGGTTCTGTGATATCTCACAAAACAAAAAACAAAACATTTACAAAATAGATATCCATGCCAGACAATAGCCTCACACATATTAGACATGAGGTTTAAATACAATAGTACAGATCTAGCTTCCTCAATGTGTTTATTGAGACAAGCAATTCTAGATCAATATCAATGAAAGAGAGGTTACCCAAAATCGTTTATAAACTTGTGCGTTTTTCTGTTTTATGTAATGAAATACCTGATTTTATTGGCCTACAACTGCTTAAATATGATTTGAGATAAGACTCAAAGGATCTTCTAAAACCAAAAAACGAATTATTTCGCCTAATTTCAAGTTATTTTCCGCCTTTTATTCAACGGCTATTCACCACTCGGAAGGTGGAGAAATTGGACCTGTTAGATGTGGGCAGCCAATTGAATCGCAACCTTTTCCATCAACTGTAGTTCCCCACCAATTAATATTTTCAGAAGCTCCGGTATATACTACACAAAAGTATATAATTATAGCAGCAATTGCAACTCCACAGTCTAAACCTATCCCCATGACTAAATTGTATTTTCTCCACCAGTCAACAAATCTACGGTGGATGTAGAAATTAAATATAACTGCAACAACAAACCATGTAGAGAAATTGAAGCCTGTAACTGCAGGAATATTTGCAGCTCCACCAAAGAACAATATGGGGTTAAATCTTGTCCAGATACCATTAGGTCTAAACTTAATTAGAATAAAATGAATCATACTAACTAATCCTCCAACTAAGAAAAAGTAAAGAACCCAAGAATACCGCCCTCCATAAGAAAATAATGTATCCCCAAAGAGACCCCATACCAAATGGGTATTAAACTGAGTTTTAGTTTTCCTACATGTCATATTATTTGTCGCTTCTGACGTACAAACGTCGTCAATGTGGGTGACAACATACCCAGCAACTGTTGGACTAACTAAAGAACTCCAAATTGCCGAGAAAAACAAAACCGTCATAGTAACTTTGGGAGGAACTCTCATATAATGCCCTATTTTAGCACCTTGAGATGTATGCATGGCGTGTTGCAAAATTGAGAAGCCAGAACAGTAGAAGTATAATAAAGTTAATGGTTGGCCCTTATACCAAAAAGCAGATATAATTTCGAAGAATGGCGCCATACTAACACTCGTGTTTGCTCTTGATTCAATTAAGGCCAAAGGAATATATAGGCAACATCCTAGAAGCAAAGAAACCATAAATCCACCAGCGTCTATTTGCTTGTCTTCAAAGCCCTCACAAAATGTAATTCCTAGACCCAATCCAATTACTGCGATAAAAATATAGATGCTCCAATGTAATCTCTTATACTTGTACATTTCCTTATTATGTGAGTCTGTGTGAGAATTTCTGTTTTTCAAAGGTATAAGAACTTCAGACTTGAATCTAAGGATAAATTGAACCATCATAGCCGCAAATGCCCCTAATCCAAGAGCAATATTCATCAAAAATGCTATTGGCAATATCACTGGCGAATACTGTTTGAATTTGTTGTAGTCAAGCTTCCAATTTTTATCAATCACTTTTGTTGCATCATATGATTCACCTTTTAAGTCATAAATCGAATTTGTCATTATTGGTAAGTGTGCAGTTTCCCAAAGATTTTGGTAATATAACCCTGGCATTACAATCCAAATCCAAAATACAAATGATCCAAAAAGACAACACACAGACCAAAAAGGGGTTGTGAGTGGGTTATTGAGAGAGGTAATTTGACTCCAATCAAAAGTTAACGGGAATAAACCAAGACCTGTTTGCACCCCAAAAACTTGAGAAAGAGTAGCACTCGATGGCTTACACCAACTAACCCAGGCCCCAATTGTACTCAAGAATGGCATTAATAAATCCGGAAGCCAATACCATAAAAACGAACCTATAAAAATTATCACGAAAAATTTATATCTCGTCATCTTCCATCTTCGGACAGGAGGGTTTTCATTTGAGTGCAATGTCTTAAATAAAGCAAGATTACTTAGAACTCCAGGCCAAATTCGATCACTTGGGGTAACTAATATATCCAAAGCCAAGCCTGACAAGCCAAAAGAAACCAAATAGCATGACAAATTAAATAAAATCATTCTTCCAATCCCGATATTCCTATCAAAGAACTTGAATTGTTCCACGACTAAATTATTTACCAATCCAGCACTAACAACTAAGTTAGAAAATAAGAACACGCATGCATGCTCTTTTTGATTGAACCTTCCAGGGTTTAAATTAAAGCCTAAACCGAAAGGTAATGGAAGATTAACCAGTGGTACAATATAGTACCAAATATTTCCCAAGGGATAAGCTATAACTTGAGCGACAACTGCTCCTATCGATACAGTGGGGAATCTCATCGAAAAAAAAGAATCAATACCAGCAATTAAAGTACTCAAACAAACAGCCAAAACCCACATTCTTAGAGTAGAGGCTTGTAAGTTTTCATCATCTGGAATAAGAATAGCATTTACATCATCTCCAGTAATGTCTAAAAACTCAGAATTTATTGAAGGTTCTGAATATTCTTCCTGAAATTTTGGACCTTCCTTAAAATGAGTACTAAGTTTAAAGTCTTCCAAATCTAGTAAAGAATTCTTTTCAATAAGAGCACATCTATTTAAGATTTTTGTTCTATCAGACATCTCAATCATTATCTAAACACCTTTAAAAAAGTTATGAACTTGAGAACTAAAAGAACAGTTTGATCAATTTTATCAGATTATGTGAAAAAAATTTCACATATGTATTATATATGCATTAAGATTATTATTGATTATTACAATGCTCCTAATTTGCATTTGAGAATAGTACTTGAATGTAAGAGTGTAGCCAAATCCTTTATTAGAAAATTATTAGTCGATTTAAATTGATATTATTAACAATTTTAAAAATACATGATATATAAAAACTTATTCTGATCCAATTTCAATTTTAATTCCAATTCATTGAATTAGAATGATGGAAATTCGATAGAATTGAAGTTTGAATTTTTTTGCGAGAGTTAGCACTGAGACGAATGTGCAGGACTGATGTCAAAAAAAAAATATCATTCGGAAGATATACGGCCCGATATATGAAGTTCGATCTCAAGAAAATTTCTTTACCTATATGCTAAAATTAGCTGAGCCATAATAATTCTTTTGGGAAATATATATATATTTTGCCTACGCATCATGTTATGACATCAAAATACACCAACTAACAATTTAATAATTGAAACGTATGCATATGCAGATTATACATATATAACCTTCCTGTTTTCGCATACATTCCGAACTTTCCGAAATTTCTCTTCAAGTAGTTCCGAATTTTATTAATAGAAAATTACCAATTATGCGCTAGAGCGTCATGTAATATAGTGGGATTTACAGACAGTTTATTGATGACATAAGCGATCATAGCTCCTCAAAGCAGGAATGTGGGTTATCAATCTTTTTTCTTTCATATGTAGGTTTCTTTCCCCCAGTTATGAGGACTTCTTGATTAGTCTAAAAGTGGAAGCTAAAATGTAAGTATTCTATCTGTTGTAATGAACAAGGACTTTTCACTCACTACAGAAAACAATATCTTATTAAATAAGATCAGCCTCAATAGATCGCATGATTAAAGTAGCCTAGAATGGAGGAAAAAGAACAAATGGTGAAGCCTTAATCTTCAAAGAGTATGAAATAATACACTAAAGACTCATGGACCTCCAAGTTTTCCAGTTGAAAGTAAAATATTTCTTCGATTTATATTCCTTACAGTAAATAATTTCTAATCGCACTTTAGTGAACTGCTTTTTTTAATCCAAATAAATCAAAATTATAAATGGCCCCAAGGCATGCATGCAAATGGTTTCCGATAAAAAATCTTGCATATACAAGATCTGCTCAATAGAGATTCTTTTAAATCTAAAATTGGAAGTGAGCTTTTTGTAGGTTCTCTTCTCACATGAATAAGCCTTTCGACAAGTTATAGACATCGCTTGCATTTCTACTATGTAGCTGATTATATCTCTGTCACCAATCTTTCTCGAAGTTGACTTCCAGACATCTTACTGCGTTTCTGTTTACGACTTGGTGAGAGTTCTTCTACAAGACGAGGAAGCACATTCGCTAATGGATCTGGCCCTTTGGTTTTCTCACTGATTTTAATTAGTCCTGCTAATTTCACTCTGTATTATCCTTGTAGAAAAATCCTGCTATCGCTATGCCATATTCCACAGTCTCGGGGTCATTAATGACATAGTAGTCTATGTTCATTTTTCCATCATCCATAATCTCATATTTGAAAAACCCCGAAAATGACTGATGATCTGAAATAAACACTCTGTCTGTTCCACAGAGAAAGGCTTGATAAAGATATTTTCTTAAAACTAATGCGCACATAACTCTAGGCGACTATTCTCGATCTTCAAATATGTGCTTGCTTTCATGCAATCTCAATTGTCCCAAGTTGAAACACTTCTCTACGAAATCCGTTATAGCTAATTTCAATTCTTGAAGCCCTTTAGTTAAAAAATAGTTTTCAGTCTTATAATCTCCAATCGCAAAGCAAATATTTGGATTTTGACGAGTTAATGCCTCATCCCAAGACACATGAACAATATCGGGCTTAAAGTTTGGGTTTTTATACAACGGAGGTATAATTGAAGCTTGACCAAAATGGTGGTATTCAACAGATGTCACGATAAAGTCTAGCTATGGTATCTTCTATTTGATGAGAAAAATACAGCTGAATATCTTCTTCCACATGCCTAGCATCCCCAGAAGGATAATAATACTCAGGCAATAGGAATCGACCGTTCAAATTGCAATCTTTAACAACACTATCAAGAGGGGCCAAATATGTATTTGTGAATTCATCACTGCCGATCTCCTAAATTCTGCGGTTATCATCGCATTCGTAACATAATTTAGCGCCAGCATCACAGTCGTGGATCCAGTGGAAATCGAAGCATTATGATTGGATACTATATGTTCCAACGTAGGTAAATTTTGATTATGGGGTATATTTCAAAGAGGGGAGTGTCTAAAAAGACTCTTATGTTATGTTTATTGTCATCTTGAACTCTAGCATATAATGATGGATCAATCCTAATTCATTTATTTGCGGGGTCATCGTACGTAATGCTGTTACTATCTTCCCCTGAAAAGTACATACATGGCATGACAATTCAGCTGCTGTAATTTCGTCCCCTATTTATTGATCTGGGGTTACCCTCATTAGCGACTTTCTTAGGTAATAAACCGTCTTGAATTGATGACGGATAGCAGAGCTATGTGCTGCATATGAGTATCCCGAACTTGTCGGTGAGAAGTACCATTGCATGCATAAGGAAAAAAATTTACTGAATAAACAATTAACTGTCGACGATTTCATGACAACAAAATTGCATATATTTATTGTCTGTTTTGCATTTAACGAGGAGACATGTAGCTAACAATTGGTTACTATTTCGATGATTGTTATGTTTATAAAGCATTACCCCACTTACAAGCTTCACGTGAAAATATATTTCGCATTATTTCTTAAATATAAACATTAAATACGTGTTTCCATTTCGAAATTACATGGACCTAGTTTTTTCATTTACTTTCACAAGATGAATTAACCAGAAGTAGAAGCTCTATATCCTCTTTCAGTCAGTATGAAATGCTATGAAGATTTGAAAGTATAAACAAAAATGATTTTAATTTGATTAATTCCAACCTCGATAGAATAACTTGAATACAATATAAAAGCTAGATAGAATCTCATAAATTGATTATTTTAGAAATATTCAATTATAGCACAATATGAAGTTAGTAACAATAATCCTTTTTACAATATTTTACAATATAGTATGTGGTGCACCCATAATTCCATTAAATCCAAGAAGTTTGCCTATCAAACCAAGTGAAGATCCTTTTTATTCAGCCCCTGACGGTTTCGAATCAAAATCCCCTGGTGATGTCTTGAGACACCGTCAAATGAACAATCTGTTTGGAGTTCTTGTTATTCCTGAAAAAATTAAGTCGATTCACCAATTTTTAATCCGTTCAGAAGATAGTTTTGGAGATCCTATAGCTGCTGTGACGACTGTTTTTGAACCTTATAATGCTGATGCAAACAAATTGTTGTCTTATCAAGCTGCAGAAGATGCTGCTAATATTGACTGTTCACCATCGTATGCTATGCAGTTAGGGGCGGATGCTGACACTATATTAACAAGTCAAATTGAACAACTTTTGGCTCAAGCCGGACTAAATGAAGGATGGTATGTTGTTATTCCGGACCACCAGGGTCCTAAATCTACCTTCGTGGTAGGCGAATCAGCAGGTCATATTGTTCTCGATTCAATTCGTGCCACTCTTGGGTCTGGTAATATTACAGGTATTAACGAAGATGCTAAAGTTGTTCTTTGGGGTTACTCAGGTGGTTCATTTGCTTCTGGATGGGCCGCCCAAATGCACCCAACATATGCAAGTGAACTCGACATTGTTGGTGCTGCTTACGGTGGAATTGTTGCTAACATCTCCCAAGTTGCAGAGAAGAACTTCGGTGGTGCATTTACTGGTTTCGTTATGGCAGCAATAAATGGGTTAGCAAATGAGTACCCAGAGTTGGATAATCTTATAAACGAAATAGGATACAAAGACAAACTTGATAAATTTAGGAAGGCGAAACAAATGTGTCTCATTGAAGAACTTCCATACTATGCATTTGATCAGGTAAGTGAATATGTTGATGGTGATAAACAATACTTATTGACTTTACCCATTGTGAAGAATATTACAGAAATAAATACTATGATCGGAAGTAAGTATCTTCCCACAATTCCATTATATTTTTATCAAGGTAAAGGGGACGAAATTATTCCTGCATCAGGCACTGATGAACTCTATGAAGACTTTTGTGAAAGGGGTGCTGATATTGAATATCATGAAGACCTTTTGAGTGAGCATCTTATTCAAGCTGTTGCTGGTGCTGGGGGTGCCTTCAATTGGATGAAAGACAGGCTTAATGGTAAGTCATCCAACCAAGGTTGTAAAAAAATAAGCACAGCTTCCAATGCCATTACCCATGAAGGATTATCGGGCCTTGGTGAAGTATTTGCTGGCGCTATATTGACTTTATTACAAAAGCCTGTAGGTCCATATGAAGATGTATTGTGAAGATATACATCCTAAATACTAACTACGTTTGTAGTAATTATATAGTATTTATAATTTAGTCAAGCATCTCGAAGTAAATTAATTTCTTCTTGAGATGTCAAGCGAATGATATACCCCCACCTTGCAAATTTGTATGTCAAGCTTTCTATCCATAACTAAACTCATTTCTGACCTACGTAGAATGCTAGACTACACCACTAACACCATTGTTTGTATCAAGTTCGTATATATTCTATTTTTCACCTTTGAAATAAATGACTTTGTTTCAATCTATCCATTTTTTAGCTTGAGAATAAGACATTAAAAGTTTCAAATTTTCTTGAAGCTACCCGAATTTACCTCTTAATATTTTTACGTCAATTTTAGAAATTTAAGAATTACAAGATCACTTTTTTGCCAATAAATTCACAAATAGTAATAAAAACATTAATATACTAATCAAAACATAACATCCGAGATTCATTCTTTTTGACTAAGTGGCGAAGTTGTGAAATCTGAATCATTAGGTTTTACAAACTCTTGAAGTTTCACTTTTTTGCAGCTTTTATATCTATTTCAAACAAACTACTCTCTCTGTCGCCACCAGCATGGTCCTTTGTTAAGACTTCAAAATATTTGCTTAGACGTGTGCTATGAGCCGCCTAGATGATTCAGGACAAGAATAAATTAAAGCATCTAAAGACTTATTGTATTTGTAAATGCAATGAATAATAATGACAGCGGGTAAGCTTGGAATTCAATTTCACCGGATACTTTGATAGAAAATGTGGAACACTACAAGGTTTTTCACTACTGGCCTTCTGTTATCTTTCTTGTAAATGTTGGCTGCAGAAAAGCTTTATATTCTACGGTTGGCAAACTTGTGCGAACTTAGATAGGTTCTTCTTCAATTAAAGATTCACTAACTCTTTGAAAGTAACATTTCCTGAAATATGTTTTACAAATTTTATTTTAGAAGTTAATGCGTAGAGGGATTCCAGTTCAAATTATCTAAATATTATTTTGAATAATCTGATATCTCAACATGAGTGTATTTTTTAGTGATATAAATGAATCAACTAAAGGTCTGATTAAAAACTAATTGAATGTAATTTTATTTAATATATACTACCTAAACTTATCTACTACTTAATATTTGGATTCTGCAGGGATATATTCTCATTATGATCTACTTGACTTTTTAATTCATGTTCACCGGTTCCAATAATTGCATTATCAGCTTCCATTGTCATATCAGAAATATCTTCCCCAAATATCTGGGCAATTTCTTCCAAGCCCAATCCCTTGGTTTCAGGAAAAAGGAAGTATATGACAACCATATGCAAAAACAACCAAACACAAAATACAATATAGTATCTCCATGAAATTGAGTCCATTCCAAGATTGTTAACGTAGTTGTTAAATAAAACCCATGCTTGATTAGCTAATGAATACAAAATAGCAGCCTTTCCTCTTAATGTATAAGGTACCACCTCCATGACATATGTATTTCCAATAGGTGATAACATATGATAAAATCCAAAAAAAAAGTATATTATGGCAACAATACCCCTACCCAAGGATTTATTTTCAAAATTGGTTCTCTCATTTACAGATGCCAATATAACCCAAATGATAAAGGTTATGCACATTAACCCAAGACTTCCTAACATCAAGACTCTACGTCTTATATTACCAGAATACATCGCAGATAAAACACCCCAGACACCGCCATAGACAGTTAATCCAATATTAATTTTCAACTTTTCAACTGGTTCAGTATATCCTATATCTTCAAGAACTATTGAAAAATAATATGAAACAAGTGAAGAACCACACAATTGTATAATAGAAGGCAACGCAATTGTAATAAATAATCTATGCATGTTTGCTTTCGTTTTAAACCATGTGAGCCAGGATACATTTTTACCTAACTGTTCCTTAGCAATTGCCGCTTTGATTTCAGCCATTTCAAATTTAACGAACTCACTATCTCTATCTCCACCTGCGTGATATTTAGTTAACACTTCGAATGCTTCGTCTTCTTTATTGTGAGCTATAAGCCATCTTGGGGACTCTGGACAAAATACAACCAAAACTAATTGAATTAACGGAAATACCGCCTGTAACAATGAGGGCAACCTCCAAGACCAGTTGTTGTACTTCATATCAGACATATATGGACCCCAAGTTAAAATGGCTGCCAAAAATGCACCAACAGGATAGCTCGCTTGCAACATACTTGTCATAGCTGGTCTTTGGCTAGGGAATGCCGTTTCTGTTAATAAAGGTGCAGCTGCAATCTGGGTAGCTGCAGCACCAAGACCTAGAACAATACGAGATGCGAGAAACATACCATAGTTGATTGCACCAGCCTGCAATCCAGCACCAATGATTGATATAACAATTCCAAACATAAGCATGTGTTTTCTTTTGAAACGATCACCTGCCGCCACCATGAATGGTGTTGCAGCTAGCCCCCCAAAATAAATACCATTTGTCATAGTGCTCAATGTACCACCAGTTGGACTATTAAAATATCCCGTCCAACTTGGTAGTGTTTGCAAATTACCCATCATACTACCGTCATATCCTTGAGTAACCATGCCAAATAGAGCACATCCCAAAAACAAGTTTAACTTTAATAAATGTGGGTACTGAAACCACCATTTTGTTAATTTTGGTGTAACATCTTCCAATGTAAGCTCCTTCTGATTTTCGGAATCTGAATAGTTATCTCCAGAAATCAGTACTGCAATATTCTTGCCTTTGTCTTCATGAGTATGCATAATATCGATTACTATCTAATGAAATTTAGGCTTTGTTAGGAACTAAGAAAAACGATTTATATATAAACATTCCTAGTAGCTACGACATTCATCTATTCTCTCCCCAACTAATGACCCCATTTTATCAAATATGAACCGTTGGATAGTTTATTTTTTTGAAGTCAAGTTAATGATGGGGGAAAGTTTAATATTTAATTTTAAGATCATCATGTTATTGGCTTTTTTTTTTACCGCAGAATAGTGCTATTATCGGGTGCGGAGAATTAAGATTTACTTCCCCATACCCCCACCAAATTCGTAAGAGTTGATGAATTGGGGCCCACATACATATTCATAGAAAGGCAAGGATACATCTTGTAGTTTGGAATCGTAGTGTCACTAGATTCATTTCAAAAACTAGCATTGATATGCTTCTCCAAGAGGAGTACTTCTTCTTTGAAAGATGACATTACCAGAGATTCACACACTCAATACCTGTATTAGTAATATCTAAGACTATAGCACAGATTGCTTGCAAAATCTTATCCTACAGTATAAATGTTTAAATAAACGATATATGTGATTACTATATTGGAAATGATATCTGTAAGTTCTGAGTAGACAAAAAAAAACATAGGGAATACGATTTATTCAAACAGAACTCAATTTTACATATCCGAGCATACCAAGAAAAATGAAAGTATTCTTCAACTCATCTTTTAGAATTTTATACAATTCCCTAAAAATAAAATGTAAATAGACGTTGTAACCTGAGAGAACTATAATTCTAAGATTATCCCTTCATTTCATTTTTCTGGCATGTTTTAGAACCAGGAATACCTTTTCTATTGTCTAGATCTAGAAATAAGAAACGAAACGATAAACGAAATCCGAAACGATATGCAATTGATAGAAAATCGGAAATGCGCTCAGCTTTGCCTAGACAGTACATAATTTAAACGGTGGGGGAGGGGATTTAATTATGATATTGCTTATGTAAATCACATGATACAGACCTGAAGAACTAAAAAATATTTTAATCAAGACGCGAGGCTTTATATATTGTGAGTAGATCATCTCGTATTATTATAATCAACCGATTAACAAAAAAAATTCTTTTGAAAGTGTTTGTTGTACAAAAATCCAGATATATCTAATAAATCTATAATCAGGGATGTAGCAAGATGTTTGCGTCAATATACAATCTAACACTTTATA